TCATTGCATGACTGCTACCTAGAAAAGACTTTGCCTCAACTATATGGCCATCTCCTATAAACCACAGGTGATATGTGCTAGACTCACTCACACATTTGCACTAGGTAGTCACTAAGATATAGTAGACATAGAAAACCTGCACTGATAAAGTATTAATACTGCCATTGCTCTTGTACTGATACAGTGAGATTTGATATGCTGGGTAGTGTTTCTTAGCTAATGGGCACAGATACTAGCAAATCAGTGCATTGGCCTTGGGAAAAGTTGCTGTCCTTTACTGCAGGGGTCTGTACTATAGATGTATGAATACCCAAATGCCCCTTTACATTGGGGGAAAGAAACAGTAGGCCCCCTTTACATTGGTGGTAAGTTAAAAAGAACCCTTTTACATTGATGGCGAGTAGGAGAGAAGCCCTCTTACACAAGTGGTCAGTGAAAAAAAAAATGCTTACATTGGTGGTCAGTAGAAGGAGGTCCCACTTACATCAGTGGTCAAAGAAGAAGAACCCCTTCACATTGTTGATCAGGAGAAAAAGATCCCTCCTATGATGGTGGTCAGTGAAGAAGAACCCAATTTCATTGAAAGTCGGTAGTAAAAGAGCCCCCTGTACACTGGTGGTTGGCGAAGAAAAAGCTCTTTGAATTGGTGGTCAATAGGAGTGGGTCCCTCTTTCATTGGTGGTCAGTGAAGAAGAACCCCTTCACATTGGTGATCAGGAGAAAAAGATACATCTTATGATGGGGATCAGGGGAAAAAGATCCCTCTCTTATAATGGTGGTCAGTGAAGAAGAACCGAATTTCAGTGAAAGTCGGTAGTAAAAGAGCCCCCTGTACACTGGTGGTTGGTGAAGAAAAAGCTCTTTGAATTGGTGGTCAATAGAAGTGGGTCCCTCTTTCATTGGTGGTCAGTGAAGAAGAACCCTTTTACTTCGGAGGTCAGTAGGATAAAAGCCCCCTTTCACTGGTGGTCATTGAAGAAAAAAAACATTACACTGGTCGTCAGGTAGGGTGCTCCCTTACACTAGTGGTCAGTGGAAAGAATTCCCTGTTAGATTGGTGGTCAGTGGAAGGAATGCTCCTTACATTGGTGGTCAATGGAAGGAATGCTCCTTACATTGGTGGTCATGGTATTGCTCCCTTACATTAGTGATCACTGGGTCCATACCACCGCCAGAGCCAAATTAAATTTGTGCCAGTACTATGCAGGCACAGTCAAGCAGAATATTAACCTATCACAGCTCAAGGAATGTCTAGCAATCTCCAGGGGAACCCTATTATTCCACAGAATTGTTGAGAAGGGCTGGTCTAGTTAATAAAAGCCAGAACACCAACCAAAAATATTGAACAGAGAGCTATTGATCAGTGCGAAGAATAAAAGGCCATACAAAAGGTCAAAAATTGTAATTAGTGCACCTGTACCTGATGGGATCATTTAGAAATCATAATTTATTCAACTTTTTTCATGGCCATTTTACATTTGAACAACACTTAATGATGTTCCTTAATAAAAATAAACCTTTGCATCATGCACTCTGATTGTGCAATGGATTTAAAGATAAATCCTGTCAGCGCGAGTAAGAAAGTATTGTTTGTCCAAAGATTACTCATGTTATTTCCTCAGCCTGCAGCTCAGCACATTATAAGCTAAAGATGGCCAAAGCTGCCTCTGATGTCAGTCCAAAAGGATGTACTGATTATCTTCCACAGGGTCAAAGGAAATGATGCCCTTTTAATATGCAGCAGCCAAGCTTTAAATGGCCAGTCTAGGTACCAAAGAGACAGATGTTTGTCATATATTAAAACTTCGTTCTGACATAGTTGGCTTTGCTTCTGGAAAGTGATTGAGTGATATTTGAAACTACTGATGCTAATTATTATTATTATACAGGCACCAACAGTTTGCTCAGCACTTTACAAAATGAAGGTAGACATTACAGTTACAATACAATTTGGTACAAGAGGAAACAGAGGGCCCGCCTCGTTAGAGCTTACAATCTAGGAGATCCTTTACATTCTGCCAACAACAATTACAATTTGTTCTCACGTTTTGAGCATGGATTTAATTTTTAAACATTTGCTTACAAACAGCTTTGCAGTGGTTTAATTGTAGACTGGAAACCTGAGTACAGCCTTTTCGCATATCACCCAGCTTTATTATTATTATACAGTATTTATATAGCACCAAAAAGTTTGCTCAGCGCTGTACAAAATAGTGGGGGACAGTACATGAGACAATACAGTAACAAAACAATATACGAGAGGTGCGAGGGCCCTGCTCTTTCGCGCTTACAATCTAGGAGGGAGGGGATAGTGGTACAGGAGGAAATGGCTGTGGGGGATGGAGTGGTAGGAGGAGTGGAGGAGATCGGCTGTTAGGTGAGGGTGGGGTAGGCTTCCCTGAAGAGATGGGTTTTCAGGGTGCACCTAAAGGTGAGGAGGGAAGGTGACAGTCTGATGGATTGGGGTAGTGAGTTCCAGAGGATGGGGGAAGTCCTGGAGAAGTCCTGCAGTCGGGCGTGGGAGGAGACCAGGGAGCTAGAAAGTAGGGTCTTGTGAGGAGCGAAGAGTACGGGTTGGGCGGTATTTGGGTATCAGGTTGGTGAGGTAGTTTGGGGCAGTGTTATGAATGGCTTTGTACGTCAAAGTTAGTAGTTTGAATCTAATGCGTTGGGCAATCGGAAGCCAGTGGAGGGAATGACAGAGGGGGTGGCAGATGCGGAACGGTTGGTAAGGTGGATGAGTCTGGCCGCAGAGTTCAGGATAGACTGAAGCGGGGATAGTCTGTGATGAGGTAGACCGGTGAGGAGGGAGTTGCAGTAGTCGAGTCGGGAGATAATAAAGGAGTGAATAAGTTGTTTAGTAGTGTCTGGGGTTAGGGACGTATGTATTTTGGAGATGTTGCGGAGTTGGAGCCTGCATGAATTTGCCAGCGATTGGACATGGGGTTGGAAGGACAGATTTGAGTCTAGAGCGACACCTAGGACTTTGGCTTGCGGGGTGGGATAGATGGTGGCGTGGTTGGTCGTGATGGAGAGGGTGGGGGTGCGCAGGCTAGGGGGAAAATTAGGAGCTCAGTTTTGGAAAGGTTTCATTTGAAGAAGTGGAGCGACATCCAGTCTGAAATGTCGTTCAGTAGGCGGGTGATACGGGTGGAGACTGAAGGGGTGAGGCGAGGGGTGGAGAGGTAGATTTGCGTGTCATCGGCGTAGAGGTGGTAGTTGAAGCCGTGGCAGTGTATCAGTTGGCCAAGGGAGGTGGTGTAGATGGAGAAGAGAAGGGGCCCGAGGACACAGCCTTGGGCTTTAGAAAAGAAGGACTCGAGAAATCCGGCATGGACATGGTGCAGATGACATGCACATGTATGCCACAGCACACGGGTGTGGCCCAGACACACAAACCTACATTTGCATTGTTATATATTGTACGATTGCAATCTTTATATGTACTACCTACTTTAGTCACCCTGACTTGCTAATATAACCATTCAACAACGTAATGGCATTTATCCTGACCATTTAGCAGAAAAAACCATTCAAGGCATTTCAGAAAAAAATTTCTGCTAACCTCATGCATTTCAAGTGCAAGAACGATGGTAGAATACCCTCTCTACTATGCATATATTTTTTACATCATGATGTAAGTGATAGGTCTTTAATATTTATTGAAATGTAGAACATTGAGTATAGGTGATACACTGAATGCCCTAATATTTTTGTTTCATCCCCAACAGAAAATGAGATTTCCAAACTTCCGGCTAGAGCCTTTGCTGGTTTACCTAACTTAGAGTGGCTGGATCTGAGCAAAAACAAACTTGATGACTCTGGCTTGGCCTTTGATGTTTTCAAAGTAAGAATATCTTATCTTCTTGGTTGCTGACTAATCATGGACATGTCATATGAATGTAACACTTAACCCCTTGCCTACCAGGCACTTTTACCCTCTTCCTGCCCAGGCCACTTTTCAGCATTCAACACTGTTGCACTATGAACAACAATTGCACAGTCATGCAACACTGTACCCAAACAAAATTTTTATAATTTTTTTTGAGACAAATAGAGCTTTCTTCTAGTGGTATGTAATCATCACTGAGGTTTTTATATTTGGCTAAACAAATGAAAAATTACCGAAAATGTGGACAGTTTTTCTGTTATAAAGTTTTGAAAATAGGCGATTTTTCACCTTCATTGATGGGCACTGATGATGAGGCACTGACAGCCAGCACTTAGGAGGCACCGACAGCCAGCACTGAGACACTGATAGCCAGCAATGGTAGCGGGCACTGATACAAAGCACTGATGGGCACTATTAGCTAGCATTGGTGGGCACTAATGGGGCTACGCTGATAATCAGGGCACTCAATCAGTGTAGATATCCCCTCTGAGGAATGCAGCTTCTCCCCTCCTCGGGTGCTGCCAGCTTGAGAAGACGACTGCAGATAACCGGCATTTCCGATTTACACTGTGATGAGCTGTAGCTGTCTTTTGGCTATAGCACAGTCGAGAACTGGCTAAGGGGAGCAAATATATATATATATATATATATATATATATATATATATATATATATATAGAGCAACACTCAACCACCAGTCTGAGAAAATAATTAGCAAGCCTAATTATTAATTAAGCACAGTGGCTAAATGGTTAGCACTTCCGCCTGGCAGTACTAGGGTCGTTGCTTCGAATCCCAGCCACAGCACCACCTGCCTGGAGTTTGCATGTTCTCTCTGTGCCTGCGTAGGTTTCCTCCGGGTACTCCGGTTTCCTCATACACTCCAAAGACATGCTGGTAGGTTAATTGGATCCTGTCTAAATTGGCCCCCTAGTATGTGTATGTATGAATATAAGTTAGGGACCTAGGATTGTATGCCCCTTGAGGGTTAGGGACTGATGTGAATGTACAATATATATGTAAAGCGCTGTGTAAATTGATAGGGCTATATAAGTACCTGAAATAAATAAATAAAATAAATAAATTCACAGGATTGTGCAATGCTTACTTTGATTATACAGTATGTGTTTTGATGCAAGCTTCATGGGCAAGGGAGGACTGGGATTCTTTAGTCTGTGGGGCAAACACAACCAACTAGCCTTTTCGTGGTAGGGACACATTTTTATGGTCTAAAGAAAGTGCACAAAGAGTGCCATGGCTCTGCTATGATTGGAGAGCATGATGAAAGGTGGGTGTTTCTTAAGGATGTGCTTCATTGGGACACCTTTTTTTCCCATCTTCCAGTTTCCTTTGCAGCTCTCCGCATTTGGACACATGACATCTAAGAGCTACAAAGGAAGTTGAATCTGAAGGACCCACCTTAGCCAGTTGAATGTAGATCAAATGAGTGGTGCAGGTATGTGATCAAATGGGTTGCAGGTAGCTGTAAAATGCCCAGTGTGTGTCACTGACTGTGAGTCCTCTTTTATTAATGTCTGAAAAGAGAAATATCTTAACTCAGGGTCACGAACCCAACATATTCTATGAATACTAACCCTAGGAAAAAATGCACTCTGAGCTCTATCCCAGTCCTTCTCTATTCAAAAGTTCCTTTACTAAACTTTATAGCCGATCTGCTGCTAGCCCATTACAGTTTTTTTTCTTATGGCCAGATTTGAAATCACTTTTTTTCCATGCAGGGCATCAGGGGGATATCTATGGTAGCTGTGTGCAGCAGTCTCTGTGATTTTCACTTTCTGTTCTCCTAGGCCAGCTGTTTTCCTCTGCCCCCTTCCTAACATAGTGTAAAGGCTAGACCAGAGAAATCCAAACTTTCCAAACAAAGGGCCAGTTTACTGTCCTTTAGACTTTAGGGAGGGGGCCAGGCTGTGTTAAATAGTAGAACATTTCTTGGTATTAATGGGAATCAATGTCTCATCTTTAGTAGAACAGGGAGGAATAATGCCCCATTGTTGGTACCAGTGGAAGGAATAGTGCCCCATCAATGGTGCCAGTGGGAGGAATAGTACCCCATCATTGGTGCCAGTGGGAGGAATAGTGCCCCATCATTGGTGCCAGTGGGAGGAATAGTGCCCCATTGTTTGTGTCAGTGGGAGGAAAAGTGCCCTATTGTTTGTGTCAGTGGGAGGAATAGTGCCCTATCAATGGTGTCAGTGATAAGGAAGTGCCAATATTTGTGCTCCGTGTACTTACACTTGAGCACGGGCTTTCATTTCTTGATGAACAGATTTAAAACAAGCCCTTACGGTACCCTGTAACTGCATGTACTGTGGGGTAATGCATCTTCAACGTTCACAGCAGAAGTACTAAACTCATTTTCTCAGCAGCTCAACTCACTCTGCTCCCCCAAACCCCAAGAGGGACTTGACAAGTTTCTAGTCTTCAAATCTCCAATATAAACAGAGTGGGGTCTCTAGAAGTGGGTCAGGAAAGCCAAGCTGCCTTAGACAAAGACTTTAGTGCTCCTGTGAACTTTAAGGATGAATTTCTCCACCATGTCTGCAGCAACAGCGGTCAGTGGTGGCTTGTTGTAAAGCTATTTATTGCTTAGAGCCTAGACCATGCAGTTTTCTTATTATTTTTATATGATATATATTCATCCCTTCTTTTGTTGCATAGTGTTGAAATGCAGGCGTTTTCTATGCTTTGATGACCTTCTCCAGCCAATGACTGCATCATAAACTGTCAATTCTTGTCTTTCAGAATTTAACCAAGTTAAAGCGGCTTAATCTGGATGGTAACCGCCTGACTGCTCTTCCCCTGCTCCCCCTCATCTCTCCAGGAACTAAAAGTTAACGATAACGATCTGCGAGAACTAAACAGGCACAGCTTCCGGGGTGAGGAGCCAAATGTGCTAAAAAAGAAAAAGAAGAAGAAACATCCTCATGATGATACCCCTTCTCTCTCTCATTCCCTCATCACACCTGCTCTCTCTCACCCCCCCCCCCCCTTCTCACTCATCCTCACTCCCCACCCCCTCTCTGTCTCTCTACTCCCATCTCTCTCCTCAACCCCCCTCTCTCTCTACCCCCATCTTTCTCACCAACCCCCCTCTCTCTCTACCCCATCTCTCCCCCCAACCCCCTCTCTCTCTCTCTACCCCCATCTCTCCCCCCCCATCTCTCTCCCCCCCCCCCCCCCCCCTCTCTACCCCCACTCTCTTCCACCCAACCCCCATCTAACTCCCTCTCTCCACCCCTTGTCTCCCACCCTCCTTCTCCTCCTCCTCTCTCTACCCATTTATCTCCCCTCTCTCATTCAAACCCCCTCCCCCCCCACATAACCCCACTCTATTTAATATTTTTTTTAACAAAAATTTAACATTTTCATTTTATTTCCATAAAAAGGCACAGCAAAATCCTTAGCACCAGGCCCACGATGCTCTTGATCCAGTCTTGGCTGCAGATTTATTGCCAGTGCTGGACAAAGCCACCAAGGGAGCCCAGTGCAGGAACAATTCTTAGGCCTGCCATTCAACTACTGCCCAAACACCTACTGACTGAGTGGTGTCATCTGCTGGTGTTACTGGCTAGGTAGTGTTCACTGAGTTATCATATACCGATGGTGGGGACAGAACATGTCACTAGTAGGGGTGAGCAAATTAATATGTCATTTTCTGAAAAATGAGGTAGACTTAGATGAATCAAGCAAGCCAGCCACTGTACAGACCAAAATGTTGTGTATGTATTGTTGTTAAGGCCCAGAATCGCTGCATTGCAATTGCCAGTAGTTAAAGTCAGCAAACAAGTCCTGTGCAAGAACTAGACTTCTGCCCTGCATTCAACTACTGCCCAAACACCTATTCACTGAGTGGTCTCAGTGGTCATGTATAGGTATATACAGAATATAGAGTATATAGCTAGTTGCAGATCAAAAGTAGCCTTTGTGATACTGTCGCATGGTCCATAATATGCAGTTGGGGCCAGAGAGTAAATACCCCTTCGTTTTTAAGTCTGTTCAAGCCAGTCAATATTTTCATGAGTAGACGCATTGTTACATGTCTCAGTGCTGGTCAGGCAAGGACACATGAAGATGGTTCATGTTGCCAAATTTCACTTGGGCATAAAAACCAGTAGCATGAAGAGGACATTACAAAGAGGGTCTGCCACCTTTCAACTGTTTTAGAATAAGCAATATCAAGCAACGTCATCATGAAATTGAAAGGGGGTCTAAGCACCTTCCTGACCTAAAGTATGTCTGCTAGAAAATGGCCGCAAAGCTCCGGTGAAGCTGCACAGTCTGAACAGTATATCCTCCTCTGAGCTACAAGCTAGCAGTGTTAGCCAAGAACCCAATTTAAAACGGTGTATTTGTTCGAGAGGACAATTGAATACTGCCTAGCATGGACAAAGTGTGGGCTCACTTTAAGGCTTAGGTTTACTTTAGGAGAAAGTTAAAGAGTATGTCAAACCAAAACCTTTTCTCTAATTTTGCATGTGTGGGGAAGGATTAGAACCTGTCAAAGTTTACTACTATATGGGGCTATGTGAGATTTGCTATAATCTCCTGTCAAAGTTGTAACTAGAATCTTCAGGGCCTTTAGAGACCGTTCAACACTTTTCAGAAAATAGGATTTATTACTAAAAAGGTCAAAATGGTGCAATTAAAATATTTACAGAAAAAGATGTAGAGATGGATCCTGATCGATGTTAAAAGGAGAGCTCAATTTTTCTCCAGGCTGTCAGTCTTTCTCTATTATCTCAAAGGGGTGTCTCCTGAGAACAAATGACCAATCGTCCCATTTGGGGATGGGTGTTAGGCAGTGACCAAGATCAGTGACCAAATCCCTTACAAGTTCATACTATGGTCAATAACCTTCAATAGGTACAGGTAGCATCCTAGCAACTGGCAGATTAATATTTAGAATCATATTCCAAATGTACAAATACCAAACTTTAGCATATCCTGCCACTCCGGATAAAAGAAATTGCTTTCTACCCTCTTGTAGGCACTACATAGGGATGTAAAATGTCATGTGACTCATTAAAATAACCTATCCGAATATATACTTCATATTATTGTGCCCAGTTCCTGCTAACGTGTATGAATTGTATGAAAAATTACTCATGTGGAATGTACGTTTTATGGCATGCTTTAGCCCTAATGGCGTAACAGGTTATGACTGACTGAGTTATTGTTTTACGATCGGGCAGAGGAAAGTAGTTTTTCAAAGAAGATCCTCTGGAACCAGACTAGTTAGTGGTTTACAGCCATGGAGCTCATGTAGCTGTGTATATCTACAATATGCACTTTTGAACTCCGTTCACTTACAGACTCACATTCCATTCAAAAAGGATTAGGGAGGACAGGAGAGAACATGGCTGAGACCTAACTAGATGGCTGTCAGTGTCCATGTCTCTATGTGCACAATTGTCATAGACCCTTTCACATGTTCTGCAGCGGGACCCCTCCCTACATATTTGCCAACCTTTCCAAAAAATTTTAATTGACACCTTTTTTCCTTCTATGTTTTCAGCCAGCCCTTTTAGGCAGAGAACGTATCTTAATTACAGGTGGGGCATTTAAAACGGGCGTGGTTCTATAAGAACCACCTAATGCTATACCCCTTCGCACATCTCTAAACCCTCCAGAATGCCTCCATACACCCCCCCCCCCACACACACACACACATACCTCTGCACCTCCCAGCATCCTCTGTATCTCTCCAGCACACGATTGTACACCGCAGCAAGTGATCTTTGCATCCCCCACACCCCTAACACATCTCTGCTGTGTACCCACTTGATGTGCACCTTCAGCCCCCAGCAAATCTCTGTAAACCCCCCCCACACACACACTCACACTTTCCCAACACACACAACAGTGTACTTCCAATACAGTCAGGTCACCCCACGGCCACTCACCTGCACATTGTTCGGCAGCTCTGTGGTGCCTGCAGCATCTGCACCTCACTTCAATTGCAGTTCATTATGCAGTAATGGTGGTGGTGATGGAGGATTAAAAGCTCTGTGCTGAACGCGGGATCTCCCTCCGGCTATAGCACTCGTTTAGGGCTTAAAAATAGACAAGGACTTGAAATGAAGATTTTTTTTAACTACATTGATTTATATTGGCTCTATATTAGATCAGATATAAAAACTATCCTTATATGTGCCGCGATCAGCCGCTGATCACAGTGCACATATACAGTAAAAAAAAAAAAAAAATATATATATATATATATATATATATATATCTGATCGAGTATCGATCCACTTGGTTATGCTTTCTTTTGAATCCTTTTAAGTCCTAGTTCATTTTTTAGGCCTAATGATGCGGGAGTGTTCTAGTCTTCAAAATGTGTTGGGTGTATTTATGTGATTCATTTATGAATAATTGAAAGCTTCTTGGACATATTGTGGGTTGCTTCTGGGTACCCATCGAGGGAGGCCTGTTTTGTTTGAGAGCTGCCTTACTAGAGTCTTCTTGGGGAAAAAAAGTCTTTGTGTTTGATCATTTGAATAGGCATTGCAATCACAGCCCCTTTTAAATATGTCTTTTTTAGAAATAGAAATATGACATGAGGTCTAGCCTTCTACTCTACTATTGAATAGCAATTTCATTTCTTCTCTCTGTGTTGTTGGGGAGTTCATTTCACTTCCTGCCTGGTAAAACTTGTCAGCAGAACAGGAAGTTAGGGGAAATTTATATAATGGAGTTCCTGGATAGCAGTAAAAACCTGTAAGTGGTTCTCCATTCTATCCAAAACTAAGGAAAAAGGTTTGGCAAGACAAACTCTTTAAAGTGGAACTTCCCCTGGCTATGGGAAAAATAAAAGTTGACAGCTAAAAGTACTGTTCCTGCTAACTTAGGAAACACATTACACTTTACAGCCCATGGAGTCCTGCATGGTCTTCTACGTAGACCATATTTAAAAGCTTCTTCTGGGCCACCATCTTAGATTCGGGAGCCAGCTGTGAATTTTTACTCACAACCATGATTGTAGGAGATACGGACTATGGGGTTACTGGTCTTGAAGCCTCCTGGGATGCGTAATGTGTATCCCAGAAGGATGTGGGCGTTGAGGAAAGGGGTGGGCATTCTTAGCAAGATGAGAGATAAGGAAGTAGCAGCAGCAAGTATGACCAAAAAAGGTACCCGCTCGCAGAAAAAAAGGCTTTATGTAAGAGGATAGGGAGGAAATAAGGATGATGGATGTATTTTTTGGTTGGTCTGCTTTAAGTGAAATCTAATCATATTTGGGCAGCAGAGTGGCTAAACAGTTAGGACTTCTGCCTGACAGTACTAGGGTCGTTGGTTCGAATCCCAACCATGACACCATCTGCCTGGAGTTTGCATAATCTCCCTGTGCCTGCGTGGGTTTCCTCCGGGTACTCCCATTTCCTCCCTCACCCCAAAGACATGCTGGTAGGTGAATTGGCTCCTGTCTAAATTGTCTCTAGTATGTGTGAATGTGAGTTAGGGACCTTAGATTGTACACCCCTTGAGGGTTAGGGACTGATGTTAATGTACCAGGGGCGGACTGACCATTTGGAAACTCGGGCACTGCCCGAGGGCCCGGGGTCAGTATGGGGCCTCATGAGATGCCCCTGGTACCTTTTTCATAGGCTTTTTTGAGTTTGGGCAAGGACACAGGGGCCCCATGATCCCCTATTGCCCGGGGGCCCCATGAGTTGTCAGTCCGCCCCTGAAATGTACAATATATATGAAAAGCGCTGCGTAAATTGACGGCGCTATAGAAGTACCTGAAATAAATAAAAATAAATATTTAGGGGTTTATTTAAACCAAAACTATACTCCCTCTCGCATCTGTTGTTTGCTGTTAACCTGCTGCATTCAATAATAGATCTTGCGGATGAGAAAACAGGTGTTTGGTGAGTCCAGCTATCTGAACTCTGTCCACAGTGATTGTATCTGCCTTTATAGGCCAGGCATAGAGGATAATTCACCAACAGCTGGAGTAAGATTATTAAAAAATCTTCCTTGTTCGCCCCCCCTACTGCCCTTTTTTTTTTTAGGTAAAGTTCCACTTTAAAGATTTGATTTAGGCTCTCTGGATCAATAAGGCTTATAGTTAGCACAACAGAAAAACAATTACTAATTTCAGGCATAGTAAATTGTGATCATTTCCTTTCACCTTTCGCCCCCCCCATTCACACCAATTCAATTTGACAGTTCAAAATCGCATGACAACTCACACCCGATTTGTGCCTATGGAAAGATTCAAATTGGTGCACCTTTGACTTTGCTGTGTGGCACCTAGTTTGAAAAAAGTTTCCTGCACTATTTTTGTTGATTTCATGTGCGACTTGCATAGACATCTGTGCATGAATTCGCATAGATGTCAGAGAAGCCACACATGAAATCACACTGACCAGCAGCTTTGAAATCACGCTACTTCAAGTGAAATAGCACGATTTCAAAGCCACATTCAGTGTGAACCAAGGCTTACTCAATCTCCACTCATTAATTTTGAAATCGTGCTACTTCAAGTGAAGTAGCACAATTTCAAAGCCGCATTCAGTGTGAACCAGGGCTTACTCAATCTTCATCAATGGGCAGCGGCGTATTTACCATGAGGCAAACAAGGAATTTGCCTAGGGCGGCAATTTTCAGGGGGCAGATCCGCTTCCCGGAAAAAGGCACACACGTGGCAGGGATTGGGACCTGGTCAGCTCTGCCATGAGACCCGGAGGAGGCTGTGAGCTGCTAGAGGGTGTGGGGATGGTGGGCTGCTTCTATCATTGGGTAGGTTAAGGTTAGTGCACAAAATGGGTGGTTGCAGCAGGCAGCACGGATGGAGGTGACGGATGTGTGTTGGTCGGTGGTGACGGAGAGTGGGGGCAACAAGGGGTTTGCAGGGATGGGCGGTGGGGCGGTGTGGGAAGCGGCAGGGGGATTGCAATGATGGGCTCTGGTGGTGGCGGTGGTGTGTGGGGGCGGCAGGTTGGATGGAGGGGTATCATGTTGATAGGCTGTGGTGGCGGCAGTGGCGGGGGGGGGGTGTTGGGGTGCTGGTGGGGTCACCCGATTTTAGTGTTGCCTAGGGCAGCACATGAAATCAATACACCACTGTCAATAAGGCAGTTTTATGGCAACTAAAACCAAACAAATTGTATAGGGGGTTCCCAGGATGCGCAGGAGGACTTTTATAGATATGTGAGGGTGTCTTGCATAGAGCATTAGTGTGTGTTTGCTATCATTTTTTTAAACTGAAAATAAAACAGGTTTTCCTAGCAAATAATACCAGTGAGGTTTACTTGTGTAGATTTGTTCAACAATTAAATGTGTACAATAAAATATAATATTCATCAGATGGACGTTGTTCTCTTGAAAAGTGCGGGTTTTCTTTGTACACTGAATCAGGGACTACACCCTCGCTCGCTGTTTTTTTTTTCTCAGTTTGCGGACTAGCAATTGACTTTGTTCCATATTGTTGGGTTGATGATGTGCTGTTGTTTATGATTTTACTTTTAACACTTACAAAAATGGCACTTACCCAGAGATCCATTCTCCTTTTGGAAAGCCTTCTTTTACTTGGAGGCTATCTAAAGCGCCAAGTCTTTTCCGTGATTGTGCAACACAATTATGAGCCTTGAAGACATTTGTCAGATATCACAGTCATTTATCATGTGCTCATGTGACATCATGTGTTTCACAACATCCAGACTGTACTGAAAATGTTCCAGACTAGAGTTTATTGTTCCTTTTACATAGCACAGAACTATTATGATGAAATGTGAATACTAAACATAATAAACAACAGCATATAATGTAGTTGCTGAAACATATGCTTTTTGTCTACTGGCCCATCATCTGAGGCAGACTCGGCAATCAGCACATGTAGAGCTCCTCAGCATACTAGTGGAAACTAAAACCAGTGCCATAATTGTCACCTTCAAACTCATGCCACCCAAGACTAAGATACCAGTTTGGGTGGCTACTGTGGTTTCAGTCACAAGTTTCTGTTTCATATATTCCAAGACATACATGGTGGGATTTCCCTGGAATGGTCTAAGCCTCCACCTCCTCCACCAAGGCCATTAGGGTGAACTAATGGATCATGAAAAAACCACAATCATCTCTGTTCAATTATGACTGTGTAATGACACAACCATTGGAGGAAACTGAAAAATTTTGGTTCTAAACCTTGCACATTGGAGCCTCCAAGAGACATAAATAGCCAACAGAAGTCACGCCACTACCTAGCCCTCTAGTATGCAATGTGTTGTCAAAACCTCCTGTAGGTAGCAGTATACCAGTATCAAAATCAGAAAAGGGGCCAGGTTGAATATATGGAGCATGAAACAATCATGATCATCTCTGATTATGATTTTTTTTTTAATGACACAACTATTACAGGACATTACCGGAAAGTCTTGTTCCAATATCTTGCACGCTGGGACCTCTTCCAAGTGGTATAAAAAGCCATCAGGAGATTTTCCATTACCTAGCAGTCTAGTCTTTACTGTGTTGGCATACTGTTACCTATAGAAAGTTTAGTCACTATGCAAATTTAAAAAAGGGTTCAGTTCCCTCTAGTGGCTATAACCTCATCCTGCATTGTTCTGTTGGGTGTTCTTGTCTGCCTGATGTTCCACATGTTGAAAGACTATAGTAATGTGTCCTTCAATAAACACTGACATAATTAGGATTTTTACACTCACCATAAAATTCTTTTTCCAATAGTTCAATGGAGGACAGCTCCCTCCACTCTGATAGGTGCTGATTTTAGTTGGCCTTTTTCTAATATTAATCTGTTTCTTTGGGAAAGCTGTTAACTTTCTCCAATTTGTAACTGCTTGCCACAACTGAACGTTTGAGGTGTATGAATATAGCCACTAGGGAGAGCTGGCTCCTTTTCTCTTTTGTATAGTGTCCAAAAACTTTTGTTGGCAGTAATACACCCCCAAGAGGAAGAGTAGAGTGTGTCCCCTCCAAGGAAGTACTGGATAACTACTGCATGGTAAGCACACAAATCCTACTGTTGGGGTGGTAGATCTCCAGTGGAAATTTCTTTGGTATTAGTGTTGATAACTCAGTGGTGTATGATTTTGGCATGATGTCAGCACAGTACAGAAGAATAGTGGCTAAAGTTTGAGGAAGTGGTGGAGTAAGATTTGGTGATGTCACTACTGTGCTGCTTACTGTTCTCCTTGCTGGAAGTGAAGCCTCGCCTCTACCAAGATGGCCTGCTCAACACAGACACAATGCAAAATGCATGGTGTGTCAGTATTGGGGAAAAATCACCTGCAGACGAATCAGAGGCAAAGCTGGTGACTAGTCCTTTGTCCTCTGCCTTCCTTTTTATGGACACTTCATTTTGCTTCCCCAACTCTACATTCAGCTAAGGGGAGTGAAGAAAAGGAGCAAAATATGATTCAAGTTAATCTCCACTTCCATGTGATAATTGCTGGGTGTGAATTGTCAAGCTCTCACTTGAAAGGAAGGGGAGGAAGTTATATGCTTCCCATACTAGTAAATGATAGGTATTTTTTACTCACCACAGATAAATGGGGCAACAGGGTATTGAAGGAAAAAATTAGTGGAACTGGGGAGGACCTGTTGGTTCGCCCTGCATGTGAAAATCAGAGAAAATCATACTTTAGCTTAACCCCTAAAGGAATTATTTGTTAATCTGTAGGGTTGGAGAAGAGGTTAGATATTAAGAATCAAGGTAAAGGTTAAGTTTTGCAAGGATGTTAAAGTCAATGTTAAATCCTGTTAAGGATTGGCTCCATTGGGGTACGGGAGGGGAGGAATGCAGAAAAATCTGCATTTTTGGTCAGTAATTTACTCCACCTCAGGGGCGGACTAACAACTCATGGGGCCCCCGGGCAATAGGGGATCATGGGGCCCCTGGGTCCTTGCCCAAACTCAAAAAAGCCTATGAAAAAGGTACCAGGGGCATCTCATGAGGCCCCCTACTGACTTCGGGCCCGAGTTTCCAAATGGTCAGTCCACCCCTGCTCCACCTGCAAGCAAATGCGCATGAATGCACGCATATGAGCATAAATGTTAATGAATTTTTCTTATGAATATATTGTGCGTGCAAATACGTGCATGCATATGTGCAAAACAAGCGCCTGAAATGAAATTTAAAAAAAGCAAATGCTCAAACATCAATGCCGTGTGAAAGAGGCCTAAATGTGTAATACTGTTGTTAAATCTGACACAACATTTATCATTCATTAATTCGTATGTGATTTCTTGTAGGCCTCGGCAATTTGCTCAATCTTGAGATGGAAGGTAATGGTTTTCATGATGGCAATGTTTCCCCCCTTTCTTTCAAGCCCTTAAAGAAGCTAATTTACCTTCGTCTTAACCGAAATCAGTTTCGAGCTATATCTTCGGGACTTCCATCTACTCTGCAGGTACTTCTTCTTTAGCCATATTATACCAGATAAGAAAAGTTTCAATTTATATCCCACATTCCAATAACTCTAGCACACAGACTGATGCCTAAACCGAGATCAATTACTGACAACAAACTTTAAGGGGGGCATTGTAGATGGTGGGAGTGACTACTTCCACTGTACTGACTTATTTGGCAGACTCATCGTTGGATTTCTGGTAATAATTAAATATAATCATGAATCCAACCAGGTATGCTTTAACCACTTGCCCTCCAGAGGATTTACCCCCTTCCTGACCAGGCCATTTTTTGCGATATCGCGCTGCGTTACTTTA